CCACTGAGACACTGTACGCTTACACCAAGATCTACACACTAGAGCAACGCTTAAATTTCAAGCAATACGTCTTTGTCTTTCGCTGTCTGCATGGTTTATCTAGCCCACTTCTCAGCCGCCTATTCACTCCCCGCTGCACTGGCCCACATTCTGCTGCCACAACCCGGGGCCAAGCTACAGCTGCTCTTGTCTTGCCTGCCTGCCACTCCCAGTATGGTTTCCATTCCATTGCGTATCTTGGTGCCGACAGGTGGAATGCGCTGCCTCCATCTTGTCGCCTGGCCGAGTCGCCTGCTTTGTTTCGCGCTCACACAAAGTCTCATTTAGGGTTCCCAGTAAAAAGGCAACATTGCCTGTTGGGAAATCCCTAACAAAAGAAGAAAAAAAATCCGTCTCGTAATAACAAGTCTTCAGTATACAATCAAATGGTTTCTAGTACTGACTGTTGTCGTACTTATTCTGATTCCTGTTTTTCTGTTTTGTGCCGTGCTCGTCATGGTTATCTTTTGCAGTTACAAGTTTTGGAAGCTGTTTGTCAGCGCATTCATAAGCCGAATTTGTGTGTCCAGAAAGATAGTGTTATTACCCTAAAATTGTTCAAATAATGTTCTTTTGTGTAGTGTGGCAACGTTGTTGCCACTTGTGCCTAAATGTGTTTTGTCACCTTCTTGTTAAAGGGGAAGTATACCCTAAAATCAAATTTTCACCAGTTGTAGTCTTCGGGGTGCTGAGTCGAATGGTCTTGGTCCGAGGAAGCTGAGGCGCTTCCTTCCTACTTGAATCCCAATCGAACTCGCGCACTTCCACCGAAACTGGGTGACTGCGCCCTACTAGATGGGGATTTGTATGCAAAATGTCACTAAAAGCGCCATTTCGTTCTTATAAAAGCACGGATGACCGCGATTGGCCCATATGTTGTAGTCTTTTGGACGCTGAGTCGACTGGTTTTGGTCCGAAAAGGCTACGATGCAGCGCTCCTCCTTTATTCCCAATCGAACATGGTTGAAGAAGCGGTCACGTGCTCCTGCGTACACCAGTCACCTGGTCACCGTGCCTGCAGGGTACAACTTACTAGCCTGTTTGACCTTTTTTGGGTGCAGTCCTGTCACTCGAGTTGAACTCGAGTTGAACCTTGGTGTGAAAGTTGTCGCCTGCTGGCGCGGTGACCAGGTGATTTGGGCACCCAGGAGCACGTGACCGCTTGTTCAACCATGTTCGATTGGGAATAAAGGAGGAACGCTGCATCGCAGCCTTTTCGGACCAAAACCAGTCGACTCAGCGTCCAAAGGACTACAACATATGGGCCAATCGCGGTCATCCGTGCTTTTATAAGAACGAAATGGCGCTTTTAGTGACATTTTGCATACAAATCCCCATCTAGTAGGGCGCAGTCACCCAGTTTCGGTGGAAATGCGCGAGTTCGATTGGGATTCAAGCAGGAAGGGAGCGTCGCAGCTTCCTCGGACCAAGACCATTCGACTCAGCACCCAGAAGACTACAACTGGTGAAAATTTGATTTTAGGGTATACTTCCCCTTTAATAATATATTATTGTTATTATTATCATTCGTTCTCACTTTTTTGTTTTTGTTGCAGATACACACTTGTCACGCTTAGTTCTTACTTGTATACCCTTGTTTTCTGCACACTTTTGTGAGAAATCGCACCTCGATATTCCAGTGCTGTCATTGTATCGTGTCACCCTACCTTGATTGCTATTTCCTTTGTTCTCATTTGTTCTTTAGTACAACGGTGATTCCTGAAGAGTGTTGTACGAAAACTTGTTCGAATCATCTTTTTTTCCATTGCCCTTTTTCTTCTTACATGTATTTTTCCTTACCCTTTAGGTTGTTTCTTGCATCGTCTCCATCGCTTACATTGTTAATAAAGTAGTCCACATGTCGCTTCAGCTCGTCCTACTTATTGCCATATTTAAAAATAATAATAATAATAAGTGCGAATTAAAAGAGCACCTTTGGGAAAGGGCTACATCAGGGAGCCGTAAAATACCAGGTATTTTTCGACTCCCTGGGCTACATGTAAACCGGCATGACGCGCCATTCATTTTGTGTACATGGCGGGTTGAAATCTGACCCGGGTCGAACTCAACCCTACTAAAAAGCCTCTTGTACGGGCAAAACCAAAAATAGTTCCACTGGCAATCCTTGAAGTACAATAGTGGTGATCACCATCACTGATGTCACCGAAATTTGAAAGAAAAAGAAAAAAGGCCCAACCCTGCCCGGCCAGCTATTTGGACTCAACCCGGGTTGAAACTATTCGGGCTTACAATATTTACCCCGAACCGGTTTTGGAACCGCCAGCTGAAAAGAATCGGGTACCCGTTCCGTCAAATTTCGAACCGAAACTCGAAAAATCTCGTTTTCGTACAAATACATGTACACGCCAAGTCTACTCAAGATTTTTAAATGTCTTACCTTACGATCACCGCCCTTCTTGAAAGGGTTCTCCTATCGATCCTGGTCACTACGAGCGTACCTTTTTCGCACATGGACTCTCCGATGTCTCGTTCTTGCTCGTAAAAATGTGCATTTGTCTGGTCTGGAGAAAAGAGTGCATGGAACCGATACCCGAACCGTGGGCAACTATGCTGGCATTCGGGTACCTGAACATGAACTTGAACATGGAACCGTTTCACCCCTGGCCCTATAATCATAGTTGAAACGCTTCATGTAAACCAGGGACTGCGGGAGTAGTACAATTATTATTTATTATTATGAACAGTTTCGCGTACTTGAGGACCAGCCTCTTTCCGCCTCTGTGTTCCTGAGCAATAGAAGGAGAGAGACAAAACTATACTATTATGATGATGACAAGGGAAGACATGGACTGCAAGGTACGGTTTAAAAATCAACAATAAGCAAATAGCACTGAGAAGGATGGGCAACTTCTGTTTCGTCAGTGTTCACTGTGCGTTTTTTACGAAGGCCTTCCACACTTGCCTGTCGGATGCCTTCTGCCGGAGGCTCTGCAGATGCGGGCTCCCCTTGAGTGGCGTTTGTCTGTGGACGCAGTCTTGCTGGATCTGGGTGACTAAAGTAGTCAGAGGTCTTCCTGGCTTGGCTGTGTTCGGTGGATTGAAGTAGAGTGCCATGGCTTGTTGCGGTGGTGTGTCTTCGGGTAGGCGTAGGACATGTCCCAGCATGGTCATTCTTCGTCTGTGGACTTCCTCGGAGATGGGCTGGCTCTGACATCTCCGGTATAACTCGATGTTTGTGATACGATTGGGGTAATGTATGCCCAGTAGCGAGCGAAGCTGTTGCCTGTGGAACACGTCCAACTTGTCACTGACTGCCTTTGTTGATCCCCATGTACAGCAATTGTACAATAGGGTCGGCAGAACATATGCGTTGTAGAGGCGAACTCTGCGAGCTTCTGAGACATGCTCCCTCCGCAGCCACAGAGTGTACATGTTCTTGAAGGCAATCGTTGCCCGCTGCTTTCGCCTTTGGATGTCTTCGTTAGTTGCCATGAGTGATCCCAGCTGCTTTACTGTTTTCCAATTTTCTGTTGTTGACGATACTGTGACCCATTCCGTCTTCTGGGTGTTTACGTACAGCGACCAGGATTCAAGGACCTTCGCAATGATCGGCAGTGCAGCTCGTAACCAGTCTAGACTTGTGCTGTAGTAGTTGACATCGTCAGCATACCTGCTCTCATGGGGTAGTAGTCTATCGCTTTCTGGACGGGGTGGCAGATGGGACAGGACATCCCTCAGGGCCGCCTCGAGATAACAGGTGAACAGGACTGGGCTTAGGCCATCGCCCTGTGGTGTTCCAACTGTGTTACTGAACGACTCTGAGGTCGCCTGTCCAACGCGGACCACGAGGGTTGTTCTCTCCAGGAGCAGTCGCAAGAGTTTGCGTTCGTCTGGGCCAACTACTCCATCCATCACTTCCAATAGCCGCTGCCTGTTGATAGTGTCAAAAGCACGACTCATGTCGATTCCCAGCATGTGGTAGGTGAATGGATGCCTCTGTGTCTTAGCACTCATCCAACGCTGTGTCCATACGACGTCTGCCGTGCTCCTGCCTCTTCTGAAACCTGATTGTATCGCGCCAAGGTGTCCATCGACGGCTGGGGCTATTCTTTTGAGTACAACCAGAGATAGAGCCTTTCTGATGGTATTGAGGAGAACAACTGGTCTTAGGCTTGTTACTGGACCTCTGGGTTTTCCTGGCTTTGCTAGTGGTACTAATATGCCAGCTCCAATGACTTGCGATATGTCTTGGTTATTGGTAACAGCTGTGTTTATGAGTCCGACGATCAAGGGTGACAAATATCCTTTTCCATACTTCAGCAGCTCCGCTGGCACTCCGTCAGGTCCTGCAGCTTTCTGGTTGTTCATTCTTGACAGTGCAGCTTCCATTTCATGTACTGCTACTGGGTTTGACAGTGGCGTCGCCAAGCCTTCCGGTGTCGTCACATGGTTTGTTGGTGTGGGATTGCACAACAGTGTGCTGAAGTGTTCACGGACACGGTCAGCTCTGTCGACGTCTCGATCAAGGACTAATCCGTCCACAGACTCCACAATGATTTTCTTTTGCTTTTCTCTGCGGAAGACTGATGTTGCTTGGTACATTTTGATGCTGTCGGGAGCGCGCTCAATAGCTTCTGCTGCTCTATCCAGCTGAGAGTTGGCGTTGTCCAAGCACCTGCGTCGTATTTGGTGGGAAATCCTGTTCCTCTCTCCTCTAGCTCTGCGTTTGCCTTCATCGTCCAAACTGCCGTCCTCCAACCGTAGACGCAGTAGTCTCTGCTGCATCGACAACCGTTGGATCTGTGGGTCTGGATTGACGAGTCCCCGACGCGTTTTCACCATTGTTCCAAGAACGGATTTTGCCTTTTCCTTCACTATTTCTGTGACTGTTTGCCACGCCACCGAGAGGTCTGCTGTGTTCGCTGCGACTTGCTCCATGCAGTCACTCGCACTCAGTGCGTCCACGTACTGCCGCCTCACGGTGCTGTCATGCAGTCTCCCTATGGCAAGGGGGGTTCCTGCTTCTTCGACGCTCTGAACACTTTGAAGAATGAATCGAGTCGGAGATCGCTGATCACAAGTTTGTGATCACTGCACACCATGGTGCCACCATATGAGCGTGCTCGTCGGACAAGGGATTTGCAATGTTCCGGTACGATGATGTAGTCAATCATATTGTAGATAGGCTTAGTGCACGGTCCGTCTCTGACATATCCAGTCCACGTCGTTCTGTAGCGCTGTGAATAGCGAAAGAGTGTGTTCGCCAACACCAGACTCCTGGACGTCGCCCATTCAACCAGGGCCTCGCCATTTTCGTTCCGTTTGCCCTTAGCGTACTGACCAACACAGGGTGCCATCCCAGTTCCAACTTTACTGTTGAAGTCACCTGCGTACAGAACAATGGCTCGTTTCTTCACGCTGGTCCATGCACTCGACAGACTATCGTAAAATTGGTCTCGGATGTCTGGGTTTTTCTCCGCGAGAGGGGTTGTTGGGCCGTATGCAGAAATGATACGCACATCGAGAGTGTCGCGACCGTGGGCCCGAGGGAACTTGAAGTCCGCGAAGCCGACTCTGTCTGTTAACTTCTTATGATGTAGCAGGAATGGTTCGATTCTTGGAGAGATAACGAATCCAAGGCCGCCATGCTTTCCAGATTCTTGGCCGAAGCTGATCAAGCGGAAAGTTTTTTGGCCCGCGTGTATTTTCCTGTCGAATGCTTCGGTGGTCTTGAGCTCTTGAAGGCTGCAGAAGTCTACGCCATAGGCATCCATGTCAGTCGCCAGTTGCTGCTGCTTCACGTTCGACGTTAGGCTTCGAACATTGAACGTCGCTAATTTGAACAAATTCAATAACGATAAATTACGGCTGCTCGCCATATCCGCTGCTCAAGAACGTTGACAAGAGGAGAAAAAGGAGAGAGAAGAGAAGAGAGGACAGGGAGAGACTAGAAAGGAAAATAAGGGGAGAAAGAGGGTAGCTAGTAGAGAGGAAGAGTGGAGGAGAGGAAAAAATTGCGTGGCAGTCAGCCAAGCACCACAATACCTGATGTAAACACAGCCTAGTCATGTACAGTGCAGTATAGATTATTATCCATATAAAACCGCTCGGGGAGCGGTTCTGAAAAACCTTTACTGGTGCTGCCCCGTCGTAAAAGTAAGAAATTAGAACTGGAGCATTGTCCCCCCAAAAGCGAACAGATCCACCTAAATTGCGAATGACGGGACCCGAACGCACCAGTAGCACGAGGTCGGGAGGCCCGGGCACAGGATCACAGCAAAGAATCAATATTTAGTAAGGGAGTTCTCAGACTGCCGAAATGATCCTCGCCGCCAATGGAAACTGCTCAACAAACTCCTTGGTCGGAACACCACTCCAACACCTCTCAAAGCCGACGTTTCCAGCCTCACCAACTTCTTTGGATCGGTCGTCTCTGACCCAGAGCGACCTCCTTCCCTGCAAATCCCCCAAGGCCCCCGACAGCTCACCAGTTTCGCAAATTTCACCCCTGTCACTACCACTGAAGTCTGCAAGCTCCTCAAGAAGATCTCCCCTTTCAAATCCACCGGATCCGACGAACTCCCACCCCTTCCTCTGAAGATCTGTGCAGAAGAACTAGCCGGTCACCTCTGTCTCATTTTCAACGAATCACTCTCCCTCGGTTCCTTTCCAGACATATATAAAGTAGCGTCTGTATTCCCCCTCTTCAAGAAAGGCAATCCAGAATGTCCCTCTAACTATCGCCCCATATCTCTACTCCCCATCGTATCCAAGCTTCTAGAAAAGATCGTCCTTCATCAACTGCAGCGCTATATCAACACCCACCCAGAGCTCAACATTCTTCCTCCCCAACAGTTCGCCTACCGCTCTGATCATTCCACAGAGGATGCACTTTCACTGGCTATATCAAAGTGGCAACAACGCTTGGATGACGGTCAGAACACCGGAGTGTTATTCTTGGACATGAGCAAGGCGTTCGACCGGGTCAAGCACCAGCCACTCATCAACGAGCTCTACTCCTGCGGTATTTGTGGCACAGCACTGTCTTGGTTCGCCTCCTATCTAAGCGCTCGTCGACAGACAGTGACGAACCCCTCCACAAAAACATCCGGCGACTCCGTGACCTGTAGTCGAGGGGTACCTCAAGGCTCTGTCCTGGGCCCCGTTCTTTTCACAATCTATACAAGACACGTAACAGACGTCACACCAACTCACACATCTAACATACTCTACGCCGACGATATAGGACTCTACACATCGAGCAGCTGCATCAACACGATACAGGACCGACTATCAGAGAGCTTCGATGCGGTTAAATCACACCTCACGGAACTGGGCCTCCTACTGAACCCCGACAAAACTCAACTTTTAATCGTCCGCCGGAGGACAACCCCATTTCCACCTACCTTCACTGTCATCTGTGGTAACTTCCCAGTATCCCCTTCCCAGTGTGTCCGTTACCTTGGAGTGCTAGTCGACCAGCACCTTGCCTTCAAGGAGCAGGTCGGGAAAGTTGTTGCTGACGTCAACCGTAAGCTGGCCGCATTCCGCAGAATACGACATCACATCACCACCCAGGCACAACGTTCCTTTTACCTAAGCATTATCCAATCCACCATGGAGTACGCCAGCAACTGCTACGTTCACACGATATCAGCAACCCTATACAACACACTCATTCGATGCTTCAAACGTAGCCTCAGGATAACATTCGGCTACCCACCATGTCACCCAACTGCCACCATTTGTCAACGCCACAAAATTATTCCTGTCGCCATCCGTTATAACCTAAAGATATTTTGCCTTGTCTATAAATGTGTGCATGGCCGCCGCAGCCCTCTACTTGCCGAGCTTTTTGTACTTAGATCAAATAGCAACCATACCAATGCCTTGACCAGGGGACAGTCCGCCCTGGCTTTAGCCCTGCCTAATGCTTCGTCACGGTACGGTTTCTATGCTTTGCCTTACCTGGCTGCTGACAGGTGGAATTCGCTTCCAGCAGCATGCCGCCAGGCAGCCTCCTTTGCAATGTTCAACAGTACTCTTCGCAGCCTCTTTTGCAACACATAATGGCACAGTATGCAGCCACCGTTTTCTTTTTTCTTTACTCTATTTCACGCACTTACGGCTTTCTTCATTCAGCTCTATTTCACGCACTTACCTAGGGTACCCTGTAAAAAGACTCACAGTCTGTGGGGATTGCCCTAGTAAAATAATAAATACTACTACTACTACTACTACTACTACAGCAATTATCATAGGGTAACACCACCACTACTATAGTGCAGTACATTGCACATTGTATCAGTGGCAGTGTATTGCTAGTACACGTACAATTATCGACGACAATGGCCTATGGTCTGGACCAACGTCCCCATCTGCATCCACAGCTAGGAACCTCGTGCTACTGGTGCGTTCGGGTCCCGTCATTCGCAATTTAGGTGGATCTGTTCGCTTTTGGGGGGACAATGCTCCAGTTCTAATTTCTTACTTTTACGACGGGGCAGCACCAGTAAAGGTTTTTCAGAACCGCTCCCAGAGCGGTTTTTATATGGATAATTTCAGTTCTTTTTCCGTTCCCTCCCCACCCCAACCCCGAAGGTAAACACGATGAGCACGCACGCGATGTACTGTATGTAGCCATGAGACTGCAATAACACACTGATACATACCAGCCCTCCCCACCTCGCTACCCCACACACAGATACACAAACACGCAGGTGCACACGGCACACGCACATGGCCACGCACACATACGCACATGCACACGGCACACGCACGTGGCCACGCACACATACGCACATGCACACGACACAAACAGGAAATTCTTCATGTATAATGCCATGCAAAGCAGTGGCGACCGTACTTCAGGAAGTCAGTTGTGAAACAAAATAATTCAACTACAGTCAACTTCGCTAATAACGACTGCGGATATAACGACAATTCGCGAATAACGACAGAATTTCCATGCCCAGAGCAAAGTCCCATCCAACTGTAATACATAATAAAGGGTCTTATGTGGTAAAACACTTCACTTTATACTTGTACAATCATGCACACACTGTCGCGGACAGCTGGCCAGCAGCTGCCGCGACAACTTCAAGATGGGAGAGAGACCTGGTTCGTTGTCACTTCTTTCACCACATAAAGAACACTGCTTGGAGAGAGAAAACTATCGAGAGAAGGACACGAAGCACTACAACAGAGCGCTCCGAAAAAGGATTCGCTCGCACGGCAGCGTACGCATGCCGTGCCAGCGTACTGTGTGCAAAAATGTGAAACCAAAAATAGATTATCATGATTTTGCTTTTTTTTTTTTTGAACTCAAACCATGCCTCTTGTACGGGCAAAACATAAAATAAAGACAATCAATGATTAGATCGAGCGCACGCGGTGATGATCATGTACAATGTCATTAATGACACTTGACAGATAATAATAATAATGTAAGCCTCAAGCTGAGATTCTTGCTTCAGCAACAACAAGCGCTGCCGAGTCTGAGGCCATTGCTGGTAAGAATGCCTTGCGTGCACCACGCAAGCACATCAGCGCTGAACGGACCAGTGCAAAGCCAATCTGGCAGCGGATGGCAGCTAGGGTGATGCTGTATGGCTCCCCAGTCTTGGCAGCAAGGAGAGAGGCGATGCGTTTGTAGAGCGAAGCACCATGCTTTCCCATGCCTCCGGTGGTAGAGAAGATGGCGGAGACAAAGCTGGAATGCTCCACCTCCCTCAGGCGCTGCTCATACGCACGACGCTTAGCCTTTTCATGACGGACATAGGTAGCAGCAAGTGAGTTGGAACGGTTCGAAGACGCATGGGGGTTGAATACCCGTACATCAATGTAGGTGCGTTCGAACCGTCCTCCCCAAATGCCACTAGCCACGACGTCTAGGCGTGCCTGGTCGTCAGCAATAGCAGTGCGATAACGGAGTTGCTCTCCGGAGAGTAGCTGGAGGTGTGGCTCAACTGCCACCTGATGGGCCACCCGCCTGAGCAGACGAGCAGTGAGGTCCCTCACCTCGTTGTGACGAATGGACGGAAATCCACCCGTCGGACACGAGAGTGAGTGAGACACAGTGAACTGCTGCCCACACGCACACAGTGATGGTAGCCGTACCGGCAGCCAGTTGAAGCGAAGGCAAACAGCATCCCGAAACTCCGACTTCGTCAGGGTGAAGCCATGGCGTTGAAGGGGTCGGCACGTGAGCCAGCTTGAGGCACCCGGTTCCGAAGCCAGAGCGATCACTCGCTGCAGCTCTGAACTGGCGGAGGAAGAGAAGGCCTGGGCTGCTGCGCGAATTGACTCCCCGGCTGTCGCCATCACGCGCTTCTTGGCAGCGCGAACATCATGGATGGCCGTGCCAAGAACTGGATCTTGGGCGAGAACACGGCAGGTGAGGGAGGCAGTGATGTCAAGGGAGGACTGGTGCTGTTCGGCCCGGGACGACGGATGAGGTATGCCAAGGCCTCCAAAGCGACATGGCAATGCTATCAGGGTGCGCTCCTCAGCATTGACGGGGCAACCTAGGAGAGCAGGAATGAAGGTGTTGGTGATAGCAGCATCAAGCGGAGCTAGGTGCTCAGCCATACCAGGTTGTGCCCTACAGAGAAAAGTCCATTTGCTCTGCAGGCCGTACACATACGCTGAGTAGGCTGCTTGCGGCTCAGTGATAGCATACTGGCTAAGGCGGTGAACTTGTGCGCTCCACTCCTCAACCTTCTGCTGCAGGTAGCTGGTGACAAAGGCTGGCGTGCCGATTGCAGCGCCGAGGTATCTTGCACCATCGGGTTGGATGGTGACACCTGTGCCGTCGAAAATACGGACAGCCTCATCGAGGAACTGAGGTTTCACAACCAGGATGGATTTGGACGGGTTG